TCAATATATTATAATTTCTCAATAAATGGTAGCTATCATTTTTACTATTATTTCCTTCATGCCTCTAATCTTGTTGAGTTTACAGATCTTATCAGTTCCTTCCAATTTATCCCCTCTCCCATGTACAAACACATGACCTCCAGCCTAGACTATTGTAATAGCCCCCGCAGTAATATCCCTGCCTTGCTTCTTGTCTGCCTCCAGGCCATCCTTTACTGCTACAGAATTGTTTCAAATATGCCATTACAATCATCAAACAGCTCCCAGTCTCCCTCATTATTGAATCTGAATTTTTTCACATTGTATAGAAGGCTTTCATAACCTTTTTTCCCTCTCCCCTTTCCAGGATCATTCCTCAGTTGCCTACCCCCCTGCACTCTACATTCCAGCAGTGTTAACCATTTCTTATTCCACACAGATGCCCTTGTATCTCATGCTTCTGAACATATTTTTTCTTCTGTCTAGGTTGCCTTCTCAGCACCTTTCTTGTTGCCCAGCCACCTTTAAGAATCAGCCTTCCCAGAATCTCACTGGCAAACTGAGATGTCCCTAATCCAGCATGCCAATTGCACTTAGTACACATGTCTGTTAAAACTCTTTATTATATCAAATTGTAATTGTTCGATTCTCTCTCTCCCAACTATAAACTCCTTAAGACCTGGGGACTGTGTTTATTTATGTTTCCTCAAGGTCTGGCACAATCCTTTGCACATTGTAGGTGCTCAGCTATTTACTGAATGAATCATTACCTAAAATTAAACTCATCATCTTTATCTAAAACTTTGTTTCTCATTTTCGATTATCTTTGTTGGGAAATTGTGTCACCGTCTGCTCAGTTGCTGCCAGTAGTATTTGCTGTAGTTAACCACTCTTTCCTGAAATACTCTCTTCCTTTGGATTATGTAACCCTATACCTTACTGGCTTTTCTCTTTTCTATGACCATTCTATTTCACTATGCGATGTTGAGTATCCAGGCTTGGCCCGGATCCCCTTCGTCTCCCAATCCTTTATCCACCACATTCAGTTAACAAAACTGACAGCGCTTCTTCCTTAGTGTCTCTCTCTCTCTTTTTTTCTTTTTTTTTTTTTGAGACAAGGTCTTATTCTGTCACCCTGGCAGTGGCATCATCATAGCTCACCACAACCTCAAACTCCTGGGCTCAAATGATCCTCCTGCCTCAGCCTCCCAAGTAGCTGGGACTACAGGTGTGCACTTTCACGCCTGGCTAATTTTTCTGTTTTTTCTAGAGATGAGTCCTCACTATGTTGCTCAGGCTGATCTCAAACTCATGGCCTCAAGCGATCCTCCCACCTCAGCCTCCCAAAGTGCTAGGATTATAGGCATGAGGCACTATGCATAGCCTTCTTAGTGTCTCTTGAACCTTTCAGTCCCATTGCTTCAAAGTGCTATCATTCTCAGCTAGACTATTACAGTAACCTTCCTTTCTCTATCCTTCTCATGTCTGCTTTAATGCATACCGCTTCCACCATCCTATACACTGTGTATAGAATAATCTGTCTGAAAAGCACCCTGCTTAAAATCCTTCCCCATCACCTTCAAGCTGAAATGCCAAAGCCTTTCTATCCATACTACTGTCTCAGTCTCTTTCTATTGAATTCCCTTATTATTTTATTTCTCTCTGTAAAGACTCATAATAAAATTTATAAAGTATTTGAGAATTTTTATTTCCATTCTAAATTTATAAGCAACTTCAAAGTAAGCTATTTATCTTTACTTTTTCTCTAACACCTAACCAAGTTCCATAAAAATAGGATCTCAAAAGCTAAATTGAAAAATAGAGTCTACTTGAAAAATAAAGGTCCTACAGTAAAATGATGTCTCTTAAATTATGCCAGGACATTCTTTTTTTTTTTTTTTTTTTTTTGAGACAGAGTCTC